TCCCTACAATTCATCCTGTGCCAGGAGGGTAAAAACCAGGATGGCCAGAATTACACACAGGGAACTCTGCTGGACTCCTACCTGTGACAGATGTAACAGGACCTGTCTTTATGTGTGGGACAGCCTGTTCCTCCCCCTATCCCATACACATATTGGTTGCTTTTTGACGAGTTCTCAGCAAAGTAAATTCCAGCTCCAAACATTCCTCCAATGTATGCATGCCTTTCATCAAATCCTTTGTGAATGATAGCATTGATAAAAGGAGACCCTAGAACAGAATGACACCAAACGACATGTTATCCTACATCCTTGTTAAGCTGCACAGGAATACAGGACTTAATGTCAATAGGAGCTCATCTTCCCCACATAGACCATTAAATACCAGAACGTGTGCTCAGTTGGCTGGAAGGGGGTGATCCCCAGCTGGATGCAGCGACGTGTGGGATTTATCTCTCTATACCAAGATCCCACGTGTGACTCATATTTCTTACTCATTCCACAGATCTCATTAAATGGCTTTCCCCCACTCACATTTCAGTGCAATTTAGCCTGTCAATGTACACCACCTTCAGCAGTCAGTGCTGGTTACGATGGGGCAAGATATCAGGACAATCATACCCAAAACCAATTTCCAAAGCAGAATCATAGAAGGATCTAGGGCAGAAGGACCCTCAGGCAACTGTCATTTGCACACACTTCTGGATGCTTCTAGAGAATATCCTGCTGAAACTCATGGTTGGTTTTGATTCCTTTATCCTGATGGTTGCCTGAAGCACCAGGATAAAACGCTTTTACTGTGTGTTGCTCCCCTTTTTCAGAAGATAGCTTGTCTTCCTGACAGCAATGTAACATCCTCCTGGCAGCTTTACTGGAAATGACTAAGATATGGCTTAGCAAAAATCTTTATTTTTCTTAAAAAAAAAATGGTATTTTTAGCTTTTTGAATTGCAGTAACCCCACAGACTGACTCCATCACCCCTATAGCCTTGCATTTTTAGCGTAGAAATGCAATTACTGTACAGGATGGTGACAGAGCAACATTAACATTGCCTGTGGATCCTTGTAAGCTTTTTTATTTGTTTAATACCAGCACATCCAAATAGAGATTGCTTCCTTACCATGAAACAACATGCGCTCATTGTGATGGTTATGATTCTCCTCTGAGACCTCTTTCTGCCTGTGACAGAATCTCTCCCGCAACTTCTTGTTCACAACCTTTTGGATCTGCAGCGGTACAACAGGTTGAACCAAACTTCAGTTGGAATTGAAATGTGATATAGTTTCACAGAGTTTGCATAAATCCAACAGGAAAACTATAAGAACGACACAGAAAGGGTATAAAGAAACCCCATGGCTGTCCTGCGTGCAAGGCTCACCTCTTTCAAACAAGTTGGTAGCCCATACTTAGAGATGGTTAAAAACTGTTGTGAAATTGCAGCCTAAGTTCTTAAGTTTAAAAAAGACTTTCTTATTTCTTCTCTCAGAGTGTTCAATACCACCAGGAGCTACAAACTGTCTGGAACTCCCTCCCTCTCTGCTTTGACCTTCATTGAACACCATGGGCTCGTTTTTTGAAGCTTGCTGTCTGGCTTAGGTTGATTTTTTTTTTATGAAAAGAAACAACATCTGAGGAAAGAAACTAAGAGATGTGCTGTTTAACCTAGGTGAGATACTGTTCTAGTCACATGCTCTAATACCACTGTGGTATCTGTAAAGGACTTCACCTTTGGTTGGGAGTAGGATGGAAGCAGAGTTTGCTTCAGGACGTGTGATCTACTGGGCCAAGTTGCAAAGACTCTACACACGCTCACTTTTCAAACATACATACAGCAGGGGTTTGCTGGAGCTCAGGAGCCATGTTCTGACTTCCTCCATTTCCTCCTCCTCCCCAAAAAGGAACCAGAAAGCATACTTTCCCTCCCAGAGACAAAACTCTTATTTTCTGAGTGTTTACACAAGCCAGGGCTTATAAAAGGTATTTTTCTAGTTGGCAGGGGCAAAGAACAATGTGTCAAGACCCAAAGTAGGAAGACTGAATTTTTTATTAGCAGTCATGTTCATCCTATCCCCCTCCTCAAAAATCTCCTTTAAAAAAGCAAGAAAAGACTACACTGAGGAAAAAATAAATAAATCTCTGCTGCAAAGTCAAATACAGAAGTTACAGAACTCTGATCAGGCTGTGAAACGTGTTAAAGCTCTTCCCCACAACTTATTTTACCACAGGGAACTGAGAGGTTTTGAAACTTACCCTGATGACATTGTACCTGTTGAAGATCCCTCCAGCATTTCCCCCATCCCGATGCTCCCGGATTGTACTTTGCATCTGTGGAAATGAACACAACTGAATGTTCAGCACACAAACCTTGCTGGTGAGCCAAAGTATTCATGCAGTATCTCATCATAGCACTGGCAGCAAGAGACAATCTTGATTGAAAAGTAATTAAAAGGTGTAAAAATCCCAACAACCCCAAACCAATTTCAAAGAGGAACACCCTTATTTCTCAGGCACCCATGTGCTGTTCCACAACAGAGAAGCTGGATGATGCAATTATCCAATCTTGTGATAAATATCTACACAGGAAAATAGAGAATAGTGACATTTGCTATCAAAATTATATCCATGTAGAAAACCTGTTTTGGATTAGAAAAAATCCCAATCTTTGAAAATGAATCTACAAAAAGATATTTTTGAAGTAATAACAAATGTGTTTCTAATGACTACAGTTTGTATTCTTAGTGACAGGTAAATGCTGGCACTGTAAATTTTCCTATGTCATTAGCAGCCCATCAGAATTTCAACAGTTCAATCGTGTCTTTCCCAGAGGTATTTATAACTACAGGAACAACATTTAGTAAGAGCTCAAATAAACATCCTCATTTACTATGACAGACAAGTGACCCTTTCTGTCAGAAAGGTTTATACAAAAGATCTGCACAAACTCAAGTTCATGGAGTTACTAACAAAAAAAATTTCCAGGCTAAATTGGCAGCAATCCTGACTATCTAGACTTTTTAAAAAGACTCCAAATGCTTCTGTGCTACACTGTAGGAACACTATACAAATAGCAAATGCACAGTAAAATGGAGTTTCTTCCAAAAACAACTCTTCAGAAAGTCTCTTTTCTGTTATGAGTTTTCTTACAAAATGGTATCTGCTTGCAGTTTACTTAAATAAAAGAGCATGTGTGTGTGGGAGGCAAAATTACACTCAACTTTCAATTATCCAAGAGCTGTTTATCTGGGTTACAGATTAACTAAGCCACTGAGACAAAAGAAAACAAGCTGGTTCACATGCAGAAACAGCCTGAGCACAGAGAATATCTACAGACTTGCAAAGCCTTAATCCCTTGGTCTTGGCCTTTGATTTCCACAGGTACACCTATCTCTGGAAAGCCGTGGAAACCCCTATGAGATGCTATCCAAAAGAACAAAAAGGCAAAATTGAGATAACACTAAGGAAGCAAACAGGCCACTTCTTAAAAAAAATTGGCAGGACACAGGAAAATCATGTCCATCCTTGCTCTCCATGGAAAGACAAATGAAGAGCTCTAAACTTCATGTCAGATCTATGCAATACAGACACCGAAGCACATTTTATCACTTTCTGAGTGGTTATATGAGCTCTGAGGGGTTATATAAGTGAAAAGAGAAATACACTGTCACTGGAGCATTAAGAAAAGTACTTGCAATACCTCCTCTTCTACAGACTGATACTCCTTATCGTCAGGAGCAAGATCAAGCAGAATGGTACCCTGACTTACGCAGTGGAAAGTCAAATAAGGATTGGTGCCTGCAAAGAGAAGGAATTAAAGGAGTGAAAATCAACAGGAAACAACAATAGCAGCCCTATTTGGAGCTATCAACAGCATTCTTCTTCTCAAATAACCCCAGTACATCAGGAAATGTAAAATAAACACAAGGCAGAAGCACAATCTCAAAAAGATAAAGTGCTTTTGTTAGCAGCAGAGGCTTTAGAAGAGAGAAGGAAAATGCATGTGGGACAAAACTGCATTTTATTGTTTCTGCTGTCAAGAGAAGCATCTGAGAAGTGTGGGGCAGCAAAAAAAACCCTCCATCAGGTCCACCCTTTAGGATACAAAAGGCCTAGGGGTAGAACAAATCAATCCAAAAGCTCCTGCCTGGGTGAAACAAGAGTACCTGGAAATGGGCATGGCCTCCACAGCTGCCTCAGGGGTGTCCATCCTCTGGCAAGGCAAGGGACACCCCGTCCTGTATTTCCTCATTTCTTTACTTGTCACAACCCACCCAGCAACCAGGTCTGCCAGCAAGTAAATTCTCCTGACATCCAGATTCTTTCCAGGGCTGGTGACAATGACAACATTGACAGAAGGTGACTTCTGGAAGCCACTTAGAAGAACCAGTAAACGTGCCATCATATTTACCTTGCTGCCCTCCTAGAAGTCTCTCCACACCTTTTATCAATTTGTGGCGGTGTCCATATGCATTGATCCCAATTTCTTTAAGTTCCTCATGCCCCATGTCTGCCAACACATCCAGGGTTATCTGGAGAGGTGAAAGACCATAAAAAATCACTTGCCAAAGCTGTTCCAATTCCCAAGGCTAAAGACCCATCAGTTCAGAAAATGGAATGCATTCAAGGTGCAACCAAGAGACACATTTTGTGTTTTGCTGCACTTCTAATTGCTGCCACCTTCTGGCAAGCCTCCCCCTGTCACAGGACAGCACCCAGCTGCTCCAGCCTGAAGCTGGGAAAAACCTGTACTTCTCTTACAGCAATTAAAAAGAGATGGTTCTCACAGGAGGTTCTCAAAAACATTTTTATGTAGAAGGAGGATGAATGGAAATGCTGGGACAAATCTGGGAACGTTTTTTAAACGTTCAAAGTTTCACACTGTTGTGTAATTAATTACTTTCAATACAGAAATGAATATCCTGTAAGCTTACTAATAAATGTTAAGTGTGTTTCACATCAATACTATTATGGTGTGTGACATTACTGCATGTATAGATCCCTCTGTGCACTTGCATGTGTGTCAAACCAGTGGGTCAGATATGCTAAGTCATGCTCAACTATGCCACTATTTCTGGAAATAAATGACATTGTGAGGACACATACAACTCTTCATTTGGTTTCAACACATGAATACATCTACAATCACCTGATGAGGTTTTAAGTTTCAAGATCACAGAGATTATTGGTGGAGTCAGAAAGGTCATGTCAAATAAACTTTTTTTTTTAAGAACAGGAGATAAAGGCTAAATAAAGTACAAATTTTTATGACTAAAAAGCAATTATGCACTGGGGTGGTTCTGTGAAAACCAGGAAGATTGAATCTAGAGGAGAAAATGATATAAAATCTACTTTCAAGTTTAGACATTAAATCAGAATGGGAAACTCAGAAAATAATGGGAAATGATTATACTTAAAAGAAGTTGTATTATTAGCACAACTGGACTTGCATTTATGAACTCTGTCCTCCATGAACTGAGTATCTTTAATTCAAAACAAAGCAACTCATGAAAGGAATTAATAGTTACACTGAATATCTGTCCAACTGAGCAGAAAACAACCCTACTGGGATTGCTGTGGAAAAGCCACTGGAAACATTCATCAAGTGCAGTGGAACATTAAAAAAATAAATACAGAAACAGATATTAGAAAGCATCAGGAGAAGGCTAGAGCCAAAGTGAAAAAGTGCACATGAAGGTACTGCAGTGCTTGGAAAAATCAGCTTATATCATTAAGCTTAAGGAAGATGAGCTTTTTTTTCACTAGAAGGAAACTTAGAAGAGGAGCTGAACAGTTTCAGAGTGAGGAATTAATATACAGTGAACCTGATTTGCATTATTATGTCTTCTTAACATGGGAAAGTCTTATAAACAGGTTTGGAGTTAAGGAAGCAAAAGTAGAACAAAACCTGTATTTTTATAGAACAGAACAGGAAGGTGTGAAAAACAATAAAAAAGAAGAAATCTAAGTAAAACATAGGTAGCTTTGAGGTTGATTCATTTCTTAATAGAAACAGTTCTAAATAAAACAGCTTATGCTTCATATAGAAGAGAGGAAAAAAGATTATAGGGCATTTTAACTTTAGGGAGATACCTCCTGTAATGTTTCATGAGAACAGCTGGAACTTTTTCTGTAAGCAACACATTACATTTCAAATGTTTGTCTCCTGACTCCTCATAAAAGATTAGCAGCATAAGCCTGGGAAAAAATAACCATAAAATCCAGTCTCTTCCAATTGTACCTTTTCCTTCCACCACCTTGCCCATGCAAGCAAATAATCCATTTAACTGTAACACATTAAATTTACAAAATTGTGCATAAAAGGAGTCTACTAAGACATTAGATGCAGTTCTGCTCTAAAAAGTAACAGAAGCTTGAAAAACTGTTGCATCAGTTGTATTCTTTTCATATATTGTGAATTATTGATAAATCCACAAAAATAGTGGTTTTTATTTTTGTTTTTGTTTTGTCCCCCCCCCCCCGATTTCATTTGTAACTTGGCAGACCTGCAAAACCCAGCTCATGCTATAGTCCTAACCTACTAAGAAATGTAGTTTCTGCATTCTCTAGGTATGACCATGCCCTGGTAAACTAAATTTTTATTTCAAGTTATAGACAATTGAGCACTTCCTAGATCTGACCAAAGTGTCACACGATGCACTACAGGTGGCAAAAGGTTTAGCTGGATACCAAGACTGCTGAAGGACAAGTGCAGGTGACATTGCAACTTAACTTGGTTATAGCCACCATGCTCAAAGTTCAGGTGATCCAATATAAACTCAGAATAGGAGCCAAAGTGGCAGTCACCATGCATATGTTAGAAAGTGAGAGGAACTGGCTATCTGAATCAGAAAACAAAGTAGATTTTCACAGGTTTCTCAACTTTATTGTGAAGTATCTGGCAACTCATCTGCAGTTCTCTTGGACCTACCTGTTCTTCTGTACATGTGAATTTTTTTACCCCCCTTTTTCAATTAAGGAGTGAAAACATCACTCAAATGTATTAGATTAGTGTATCTTTTAAACATACAAACAGAGATGAGGCCTGTCACTTACCTGTTCTGTCTCAAAGATGTCCCGAAGGTGTTCAAGACCAAGGCTTTTTAGGAACTGGGTGATGTTCATATCAAGACCAGAAACTATAAAAAAAGAAATAAGCCATTATATTCTATGCACCAGAATTTAAAAAAAACCAACCAACAAAAACACATCCCCAAGAGCAAAACCCCCCCACAAAAATGCACTTAAAATATCAAGCAATACCACTTATTCTCTCAAAATTCCACACACTAATTCTTTTTACAGTCAATTTGTCTATGTCTACAATAAGCAACCCACTTCTTCTCATCAGTGTTCCCTGCTCAGAATCAACTGTTGAAAAGCACAAATGTCCCTGCTTATGGCAGAGGGGTTGGAACTGGGTGATCCTTGTGGTCCCTTCCAACCCTGACAGATTCTGATCTGTTTTGGCAGAGGACTTTGGAGCCCTGGTGGCTCGGTGGTTGGACTTGATGATCTTGGAGGTCCCTTCCAACCTAAATGATTCTATGATTCTATGAAATGAAATGGCAAATATAGGCTCATACTGCAAAGAGAAGGAAGGGCAGGGTGGGTGTATTTTTTCCATGTAATCATGTAGGTGCTGACATAAAGCATGTGTTCCAGATACTGATCAAAAGGTTTAAAAAGCTGTAGCAAAATCCCCCAGCCCTCACACTCATAGTACCTTCACTGAAACAATTCTCATTGCATTTTCTGTATAAAATCAAGCATGAGCACCTGGATATCCAGCCAGAACCAATTACTGATAGCAAACATAGATGATCAGTCAAAAATGCTCCTGGCAGAGCATGCAAAACCAGAGCATGCATCAGACACTCAAGATGCCTATAACAGTTCAAGCTGTACAATATTTTCTGGCTAGTGAAATTCTTTTCAGATAAGCAAAGCCTACTGTGATACTGAGCTACTGTACTTCTGGCAATGTAAACTTGTCCAGCAGCAAATGCACCTTCTCCTTCCTTCCTTTCAGTTCCTGCTGCTCCATCACCAGCATTTGATGCCCCTCCTACAGCCAGTTCTGCCAGTGGCCCAGTGAGGTTATCTATACTGCTGGCAGCAGAGAGGCAGGATGGTGTAGATGCTGGTGAGATCAGGGAAGCACTAACAACAGTAGCTTGAGGCTTAAAGCATGTGGGCAAAGCTTCTGGGGGCATGGCGTCTATCAGCAAAGCTCGGATATCATCTGCCTGAAAAACAGAAAGAACATTCAAATGAGGTTCTATTATCACAAATCACTGATTATAATTGAAATCAATGAAACGTATTCTCCTACAGCCAGTTCTGCCAGTGGCCCAGTGAGGTTATCTATACTGCTGGCAGCAGAGAGGCAGGATGGTGTAGATGCTGGTGAGATCAGGGAAGCACTAACAACAGTAGCTTGAGGCTTAAAGCATGTGGGCAAAGCTTCTGGGGGCATGGCGTCTATCAGCAAAGCTCGGATATCATCTGCCTGAAAAACAGAAAGAACATTCAAATGAGGTTCTAATCACTGATTATAATTGAAATCAATTAAACGTATTTGAATTTGTTTGAAGTGATTGTTCTGCTTCCCCCATGAGAAAGAAAACTGCTAACTTTTGTACCACAGGAATTCATGGTTGCAAGAAAATTCTGACTCACTGTTCAGACATCAGTGATTCAGGTTCTCTCCATTTCTAAAGGTATGCAAGAAGGTACATCTAATTCCCCTGCTGGCAGAATTACTTTATCAGTGTTAAAACCAGGAAAAGCAATGCAGCAGCTTTATTTGAAAACCTTCACAACCTAGGCAATGACATCTCATAATTTCTCTGTCACATCCAACTTCTGGTGAAGTAACTTGCACCAGAGCAAGGTTTCTATGGAGACACTACCACTGCCTTTGTTATAATCACATCTTATAGTGTTAGAATAGGAAAAAAAATAAAAAGACAGGAGCTATGGAGACACTACCACTGCCTTTGTTATAATCACATCTTATAGTGTTAGAATAGGAAAAAAAAAACCCAAACAAACCAGGAGCTACAGAAGTACAAATTTAGCTAACAACTGGATTTAGCCTTTGTTGACTAAATTAAGTATGACCCTCATCTTCAAGAATTTCCTCCTTGTGTTTTTTACTTGTAGAATATGATTAAGACATCCTTATTTCCCCCCCAGAGAAATCAATTTTTTTTGTATCTCTCATTACAAAGCAAGTTTTCTAGAGCTCACGTTATTCTGGAGAATATTTACCCTCATCTTCAAGAATTTCCTCCTTGTGTTTTTTACTTGTAGAATATGATTAAGACATCCTTATCTCCCCCCCAGAGAAATCAAATAATTTTTTTTGTATCCCTCATTACAAAGGAAGTTTTCTAGAGCTCACGTTATTCTGAAGAATATTTACTGAACTCTCCATAAATCAATCAACAGCCTTAAAAGATACTTCCACTATAACCAGACACAGCAGCCAATTTGCTTACACTATCTATTCCAACAAGACTGGTTAACCTGGGACATACATGTTCATGTCACCTTATCAGGCTTTTTAACCAGCCACTGCTAAAAAAAAAGTTTCAGGATGCCAGTTTCAGAAAAAGTTTGATAGCCACCTGCAATTCTTAGAAGGTTGTTTTGGAGTTAGACAAAAAAAGATCTGAGGTAATATGCAGGTGCTGAGCACAATCATGCTTAAAAAGTTCCCATTCCTCTAAAGGCTCGGCTGATTTTTCTCCTAGGTTCAAAGAAATAGTCACCAACCATACACAGATTGACCATCACTGGGGACATTTCAGGTAAGTTATTTCCAGCAATAAGATGACTGATCCCAGGAATGAATCTTAAAACAGATGCAAACCTTAGATCATGAGGCATGTTAGGATCTCAGTCAAAGGAGAAAGCCTGGTCCTACAGATAAAAGGTCACACTCAGACACCCTGGAAGATGCTCATCTCACTCTACCCCACCACAGCGACAGCTGAGGATCACTGAAGCCATGGAGCCACAGAAATCCATTTAATGTGCAGAGCAAATCCTCCAGAGCAATCTGTGGCTGACACGCTAACATGAACTTACTGTTGCCAGGTCTAGTGGTGTCTGACCCTCTTGATTCTTCATGGTTGGATCTGCTCCATGAGCTAAGAGCAGAGCACAGAGCTGTGTCCTTCCTTTCTGTGCAGCCTCGTGCAGTGGTGTGAAGGCCCATTTATCTGTTGCATTTACACATGTATTGTACTTGATCAACAGCGCTGCGATATCCACGTGCTGGAAAACACAACATCACCTTAATCAACCTGACACTGCTAAAACACTTATTTCCATTTTCATGCTGGAGGTAATGGTGCTTAGAGACTCCTATTTCTTTTTCCTTTAACTCACTTCTCTGTCTCCTGTGTCTGTGTAGCACCTCTGCAGGTACCACGTTATACTGCAGCTCCACCATCACCTGGATCTGTGCACTACCAGATCATCCACCAGCATGTGTAATTGGGATCAGGCACAGAGTTCCATTTCTGCCAAAACACCCTAAATACACAGCATGAAGTTTCTGTCAGCTGCAGAAGAAGGTATGATACTTAATCCAGCGTATAACTAAGAGTTAACTCTCAAAAATATCTGTGAACAACTCTGAACTGGCAACACAGATATACAGGCCTGCAACATTTGTGATACCCTACTAAAAGCAATAGAGATCAGTGTGTTGTACTGCTGAGCCACCACTTAAATATCTGTGCACAAGAGTCTTCATTATACTTTATTTCTTCCTGGCAATTTCTTGCAAGGCTTTGAACCCATCTGTGGCTGCACAAATTTGTTCTTTCTCCAGTCGTAATTTAGGAGAGAACTGTAATTGGTAAAATGCATTATGAGTGTCATAAAGGACAACTATTTTAGATTGGCTATAAAAGTAATGATCTTATAACCCTACACTTCTATCCTATCACATCCATGACATCTCCCAAGTTAAAGTAAGAGAACATAAAACCAGGAAATAAAATTTTTGGCTGCCTCTGACCGGTAAAATTACTTGTGCAATACAGCCAAGAAATAAAAACACAGGCAGTCAAAATGAGCAGGTAGGAGAATGAAACACTGAAATTGTAAGCAGACACACAGAGACTTGTCAATTGATTTCATTTTTCCTCTTGGTAGTAATTACAGTGACTGTCTTGTAAAAAGGACTTGCTCTCTGAATATGCATGGTTTGAAAAGTCTGCTGACCTTATTTTCCCTTTCTGCCCAACTTTTAAAGCAATTGTGGCTCCTGTGATTTTTCTGCCATGTGAAACCCTACTGAGGGACATGCATCAACTGCTGGGTGGGAGAAGTGAAGATAACTTTATAAGGGAAAGGTTCAGCCTGTGAAACTTGCCAGCTATGAGCTTGTGAAGCCAGTACTCATCTCCACCTTCCATCACAGAGGTCTGGATGGGCTGATGACAGCTCAGAGAGCAGTCTGGGCTGCCACAGGAAAGGTATACAGCAATTCTTAACTACATAGGCTGATGGAAAAGCACCAAACACTGCCTTGTTAACTTCTTCTAGAGAAAGGCAACCACATCAGATTGGCATCATGATTTTTAGTAGTGATTCCCAGCTTGAAACCATCTCCAACATTTCCCTGTGCCAGTAAGGAATGCTTTGCCTTAACAGAGGATGTGTTTTGGTGTCCCATGCTTGAAAAGGAAGAATGCAATTTTTTCAACAGAATATATCTCTAGATCTAAGTAATGGCCTTGGAATTTAATACTTATGGCAGATGCTGATGAACAGTATTCTTTGGTATTAGGACCCTCTATCATAGAAGAATTCTGTGTTGCATTTCTAAACCTTCAGCAAGATTTGGAACTTCTCTGCTCTTTAGGACACTGGGATCCCAGACCAGTGTAGCAACTGGGTGAGCATCATTGAAGTGCTTTCCTTAAGAACAAGGTCAATACTGCACTTTCTGTTTTATTTGGCTCTCAAATGAAAGCAGTCATGGTTCTGTTATGATCATCTCTCCCAGATTTTGCTGCTCTTGTGGCCAGGGCCAGGTAGAAACAGACAAAGCGTATCACAAGGCTTATCAAAAACACCACTTGAACTTCATGTCCTCTGTCTGACCATAAGAACAAGAGCTGGGAGCTTCTCAAGCATTGTCATTGCACATTATTTGCAAGAGATTTCTTTCTCATCTCATCCACAATTAATAGCTCCTTATAAGCAATCTATCAGACATCTGTGCAACTGGTATACACTCAGATGATTCCTTCTGTATGGAGGAAGGAGGGCCTGCCTCCTCCAGAGAGGTTTGAATCAGCCACTGCAGTAGACAGCTTGCCCAGAATGACATCCGAACTACAAATTCAGTAGCCCTTCAATGCTGTAGCTTTAGTCCCCAGAGATTAGCTGTGACAGACCTCCACTTCCCTGTCACCACCTACACACGATCCCTTGGTACTGTTCTCTTCCTTCCACCCGAGTCTTTCAGCAACAAAGTCTTTTCTGTTTCAACAGTCACCCCAAATTTACCAATGTACAATGCTGTGCATTTTCTTCCCTGCATAAAAGCTATGTTCTAGTGATCTTTCCAAACTACAGCCTTTTAAATGCTACAGCACACCTGAATCTGTGTCATCTTTAGATATGTGGACTGCAAATAGGACTCACAACAGAAACTTAGCCCAAACAAGTACTTAATGTCATCAAAACCTGAACTATGTTCACACCAAGAGGGCTGCAAATTACTGGCTTTGGATAGGACTTTAAGGAGCTCCTTGATGATACTCATGGCCAGAATACCTGCACCTACCCCATAGGATGCTGCATTGTGCAGAGGGATTAATCCTCCTTTGTCCTGGGCATTAACATCAGCACCATGCTCAAGGAGGTATTCAGCTACTTCCAAATTGTTGTAACCAGCTGTAAAAAAGGCACAGAAAAAAAACAATCAGGTATTAGGAAAGGTTAACTGAAGAAAAAATATCAGACATAAAATCTAAAGCAATTTTTTGACTGCAGAAGCTCCTCTTTCATAAAAATTGTATTACCTCCTGAAATACTGCTGCAGTAGTTAACAACTCGCTGTTGGAGGACAATTCTCTGTGAAACTCCTATTATACAAGTCTTACTGGTTTTGGTGATTAATTTCTGTAGCCCTATCATAAGCATACAAGCCTTCAAAACAAGGTGAGTTACCCACCTGCAAGATGTAGCGGTGTTGAATTTCTTCCCTGGGTGTCTCTGCAATTGATATTTTCTTGGGTACATAGCTTCTGCACTCGTGCCAGGCACCCCTTCTTGGCAGCATCTAGCAAGGCAGCATCTCCTCGTAGTAAGTCCTGGATATCTGTGTCTCCTTCTTTCACCAAATCTAGAGGAGTGTTCCCATCTCGGTTCTTTTTTGTTGGATCAGCTCCATGCTGCAAAGGGCAAAGTGAAATGCTGCTGTCACAACCACAGGCAGAGCAGTGCACGTAAGCCTGTCGCTATTTTGTGGCAGAAGACAGGAGGCAGGGGATGTTGCTGACCTGCCATTAGGAAGCAACCACTGCATAAATCTGTAGGTGCAATGGAACAAATCCAAGACCTGAGGCCTAAAGCACTAGTCTGCAACACAGCTGTGTCAATGTCAACTCCACAGGCAAGAATGGCAGCTCTCTCTGAGAGCTATTGCTGCTCTACTTGCAGCTGAGGAAGGTTCAGGAACATATCCTGCAAGCAGCAGTGTCCACCCTACTGTCCCAGCGGCTGCTAAAGGAAAGCCAACTGCAAATACCTTGCTGGTCAATCCTTCCCTTCTCCTCCAAGCTGCTTGGCAGAGGTGTTTCCTCAGCACACCTTTCTGAGCTAGTGAAGCCAGGCCCCGAGTTTCATTAAGTGCCACCCATCTATTGAAAGGTGCTTGTTTCAGAAGGGAACAAGAAAAACACTAATTTTTACACTTTCCAATAGACAACAGATAGATCTATCTAGACAGATAACGTAACTAGCAGACATCTTCAGCAGTTTGCAGGTCCTGGAGAACAGTGAAGAAAACATTTTGTTGGGAAAGCTGAGGAAGTGGATTTGGATAACTGCTGGAGTGTATCTGTGCTGGTAAAACATGCAGATAAGCCCGTGATAAGAACAGAGGACCAGGGCATGGGGCAACGAGAGGAACATCCATCTACACACAGCATATGGTGTGAGTCATGTCCACGCACAGTTCTGTGGGAGGACAGCTCCTTCCCTGATCAATCTCAGCAGCAGTGGGGAAAAAAACCAAGACAGATAAGGCAGAGGCAGCTGCTGGGACTCCAGTTCTCTGGCTGGCCCCTTCAGAATAATCACAGTGGTTCGACCCCTGCCAGAAAGTCCACCTTACCATTATTCACTGGAGATGCCAGCAAAGCTGTGTTAGGCTGAGCCACAGGGAATGAGCCAGTGATAGGCAGAGCAGAAGGAATTAACTGCTTTATATTTGGAGGCAGCACATCAATGCTCAGGGTATGAAGGGTAGACAGTGAGAGACAGAAAGGGACAGAGCACTGGTTACAGAGAACCATCTCCACAGCTGTGGTGCTTTTGGGAAGAGAGCATTCTTTGCACAAAGCTTTTTAAGCTGCAATGACTTCTCCAAGGTATGAACTTAGATCCCTTAATTTAAAACTCATCAAAATTGGAACTGTTCAAACACTATGCAGAATAAATACCTAAAAGAAGAGGCAGTGTCTTCTGAGACCCCTTCAAAGGCATAGAAAAAAACCAAGGTGGCCATTTTCAAGAAAGGCAATGAAAAAAGGAAGTCTCTCAAAAAATGCCTGAATGTTTGTATTTCCTTCTTCAAGCAGAACAGGACAAAAAGAGCCCAAGTCAGGAGGAGTGAAGCTCAACATCCATAACTCAGAAACTGCCAGCTGGCATAAGAGACACAGCAGGAGAAGCCCTGAGCAAACTGCACTGTGAGCACATATCCACGGACACTCAGAGCCTTCACAAACTTGTGTCACCTTAAGGGCATATTTAGCTTTTGTGCAAAAGTGATTTAAAAAAAAAAAAGATTTCAGCACCTTCTATTTTCTGGTGTACACCCATTCAGGATCCTCTGAAGACAAAAAATTGCTACATTCCCAGTGGAATGATCAGAAAACTCCAGAGATCTCTAGTGTCTTCTAGAGCTTGAGTTAACACGTGTACTTAGGTGTTACCACCAGGGCCATCACCATGCCTTCTCCACAGATATCTCTGAATACCTCCTGGTTTCTACTGCAGATGTGTTTCAAATCTGTCTGCTACCTGCTCTGAAGGCTTTTTTTGTAATTAAAATAATTAATTTGGTAATTAAAAATAATTAATGAGACAGGAGGGAAATAGTAGGACTTTGTACATACAGAAGTGAATGAGGAAGAGACTTACCATTTAAGACTATCAAAATTCTGACCTATTCCTATTTTAAATGCTGTGCTTCAGAAGGACATGAAGTAGGCAAGGCTAAAACAGGAAATAGAACTGGCAAGAAATTCTACTCTAGCATCTTCTTTTATCCTCCCGTGGCAGGTTATGACCTTATGCTAAGGAATCTCTCAAACTCATGCTTCTCACTGGAAGCATGCTGGCATTACCTCATGCTTTTTACAGGTTCTCCCACTAATTATAATGAATATTTATTCCATGGCATAGTAATACTCATTTCCTCCAGGAGCTTGATAAATTATACATTAACATAACAGTTTTAAATTTCTCACATGCCAGACACCATTTAGGACAAACCTTTAGTTATTTCTTTGTAACATGCTTTTGTGTAAGCAGTTACAAAGGTTTGTTTAACTGCAGTAACTGCTCCAGAAAGGGATGAATAGGAAAAGGTGATTTTTTTTTTGGTATTTTAACTTGGTATTTAGTTAACATCTAACACCTGCTGATCAGTTTTTCATTACTTGCTTAAGAGCCTTTATCTTCCTTCAAAGTCTTGCTTTCCAAAGTTTCTTTCTGCAATAATGATGAGCAGTTTATGGTTCCTCCCCACTCCAGAGATCTAAGCGCTGAGCCTTTCTAACCATGTGGGCAGCATAAAGATTATTTTATTATTATTCCATTGTTGTAGAGCATAGAACACAGTTTCAGCAATTTTTTCCAGTTTGAGTTTCTTGTCTGACTTCTCTAATAGTATTAATACATGTATTAGAAAAACTAACTATACTGATGATTCTTTGTAAGTGAACTGACATTACATAAGAAACCATCTGACAATTGTAAGATGAAAACAAAGACGTCACAAAGATCTCACCGAATGCATCATTACCTTTGCATTAACTGATTAACCTTCAGCAAAACCAAACATACATACATTAAAAGACATCTGAGAACTCCAGATCACATACTTTTAAAAGCAGCTTGCAGATTTCGTATTTTCCTTTCGCTGCTGCTTCGTGCAGAGGAGTGAATTTCCACAGGTCTGCCACGTTGACAGAAGCACCGTGCCTCACCAAGAGTTCAGCCACTTCATAGTGTCCATAAGAACAGGCATTGTGCAGGGGTACCAAGCCACTGATCAAAGAGAAATCATTAATAGCTACAGAGAACAAAATCCAACATGCAATCATACAGTTCCAGTAGATAGAACTCCCACTTCCACCTGGTATTACTGGCGCTTTCCACTTGTGATGGTTTTGTTTCCCTGCTATTAGAACATCATTACCCTCCTTCAGTTCTTATCCACAGGGCTTTCAAATACTTTGGTAAGCACCAATGTTAGTACTTCCACAAGCAAGTAACTTCATTGCTGTTAACAATAGTCAAAAAAAAATAAATTGCAAGAATCATGGATGTTCTGACTTTGGAGATTTGAACCTAAATTTCAGAAAAGGTCTAACACCATAGAACAGGTTTGAGGTACAGATATCAGTAGGCACTGCACACCTGACAGACACAGAAAGATGCTCAAACATTTCTTTCAGGGAGATTCCAAAAATCCAGTTTGGTTTTAGCACTGGAAATTAATTATCCCCAACCCTGAACCAACATATTGGAATGAAAGATCAAACATAATCATGTTACTCTACATGACTGTTTTACAAATGATGCAAAAACCTGTAAATGGTTTGTATCATTTACTGAATAGATAACTAACTTAATAATAAAAGCTAACTAAGAGAATTAGAAAAATTACCAGAGATAGCCCTCCTATTTTACTCCATGAAATTCAAAACTGATTTTAGATCCTTTGAAATAACCTAAAGGCTGTTCTTAAGCACAACAAAGCTTCAAAAATAGGCAAAAGGGGGAACAGAAAGGTCATGTATTACAGTGCCAGATATGTACTTGACAAGGGCTTTGCCAGAAAGCTAAGCATGCCTTAGCAGTCTATACATCTCCCTACAGTAATGACAGGAACAATGCAGAACAAGAAGAAAGAGAAAAATTATCAGTAGAAAATCACGATGGTTACTGACACTGGCAGCAAAATTAATAGAGAGGGGTGGAAGTCTCACACTAACAGAAACCAGCAGAGCATATCACAGAATGACACCTACCCTTTATCTTTGGCATGCACATCTGCCCCATGGTGCAAGAGATACTCCACCACCGAGACACGGTTATAGCCTGCAGCAAAGTGCAGTGGCGTTGAATGACGGCCTTCCAGGTCTCTACAATTCACATTCTGAGGGCTGCAGAGTTGCTGCAAAGCCAAAAGAAGAACCCAAAATCTAATACAGAACTAAAGCAAACAAATAACCCCCCCCGACCCGAACAAAAACTACTCAAAATCTGAAAGAAAAACCCCAAACTACCACCCCAACACAAAACTAAATTAATTTATTTCTACATAATAATTTTTAGAAGTTAGGTTCCAGAAGTTATCAGCAGTCCTGGCTAACTGGGGAGGTCCCACTCAATTTGATGCTACCAAATGTGATGCCCATCTATGGAAAGGGCTGAAAGAAGGGTCTGGGGAACTACAAGCCTGTCAGTCTGACCTCGGTGCTAGGGAAGGTTATGGAGCAAATCATCTTTCATGCCACCACATGGCACATACAGGACAACCAAAGGTTCAAGCCCAGTCAGCATTTATGAAAGGCAGGTTCTTGTTGACTAACCTCATCTCCTTCTACGACAAGGTGACCTGGTTAGTGCACAAGGAAAAGGCTGTGGATGTAGTTTACCTGGACTTTGGTAAAGCCTCTGGCACTGTATCCCACAGCATTCTCCTGGAGAAACTGGCTGCTCATGGATTGGACAGGTGTACTCTTTGCTGGGAAAAAATTGCCTGGATGTCCAGGCCCAAAGAATGATGGTGAACAGAGTTAAATTCAGTTGGCTGCTGGCCACAAGTGGTATTATTCCCCAGGATCAGTTTTGGGGCCAGTGCTGTATCTGTATCAGTGATCTGGAAGAGGGGATGGAGGGCACCCTCTGTGAGCCTGTAGAAGACACCAACCTGGGCGGTAATAAAGCGTAGATAAGCTTGAGGGTAGGAAGGCTCTGCAGAGGGATCTGGACAAGTTGGATTGATGGGCTGAGGTCAATTGTATGAGGTTTAACAAGGCCAAGGGCTGGGTCCTGCAATTCAGTCACAGCAAACCCATGCAACACTACAGGCTGGGGGAAAAGTAGCTGGAAAGCTGCCCAGAGGAAGTGGACCAGGGGGTGTTGACTGACGGCTGCCTCGATATGAGCCAGCAGTGTGCCCAGGTGGCCAAGGATGCCAACAGCATCCTGGCTTGGATCAAAGACAGTGCATCCAGCAGGAGAAGGGCAGTGACCACCCCCTGTACTCAGCGCTGGGGGGGCCACACCTCAAATACAGTGTTCAGTTTTGGGCCCCTCACTACAAGAAAGACATTGAGGTGGTGGAGTGTGTCCAAAGAGCTACAAAGCTGGTGACGGGTCTAGAACACAGGTCTTAGGAAGAGCAGCTGAGGGAACTGGGGTTGTTTATCGTGGAGGAAAGGAGTCTGAGGGGAGACCTTATCACACTCTGCAACTACCTGAAAGGAGACTGTAGCAGGGTGGGGGGGTTGGTCTCTTCTCACTAGTACTAAGGGATAGGACAAGAAGAAATGTCCTCATGTTGTGCCAGGGGAGGTTTAAGTTGCAGATCAGGAAAAACTTCTTCACCAAAAGGGTTGTCAAGCATTGGAACAGGCTGCCCAGGTAAGTGGTGGAGTCACCATCCCTGAAGGTCTTTAACAGATGTATAGATGAGGTGCTTAGGGACGTGGTTTAGTGGTGGGCTGGGCAGAGTTAGGCTAATAGTTGGACTCAGTGATTGTAAAGGTTTTTTCCAACCAAAACAATTCTATGAAATTTCGTCCCACTTAGACAAAGTTAAAAAAAATAGTTGCTCTAAATTTATGACTGGAAGTACTTCTGTAACATCAAGACTTAGATGGAAGCAGTATGAAGTCATTCCTAATGTATTAGAAGGAGTGAGCCTCTAAATCATCAAGCACCAACCAAGGTGCCTTGATTCAAGGCCATGTAGCTTTCTCCAGATATGTTACCATTTCCAGCTTATGCTGTTTTCAGAACTCTAGAAATATTGAGCTTGGCAGTCAGAAGGAGCTGTTGGTGTACAAAAGTGCTACTGTTTGAATATTAATATGTATCATATTGAAGTTGAAGGTAAGAATGCATGCAGAACACTCTGCTGAAAGGCTGTTTTGCCCACAGACCAACTAGGAAAGACAAGAACAAAACTTTCTCTGATGCTGGGATTCCATGGCCTGACCATTCACCTTCAGATTAAGGGTGGCTTAAAATGTGAAGTCTGCAACCTGGTAACACTTCCATTTGCTTGCCTCCTGAGGAGACTGAGAGGAGACCTTATTGCTCTCTATGGCTACCTAAAAGGAGGTTGTAGTGAGGCTGCTGTTGGTCTCTTCTCTGAACTTACTAATGATAGGACAAGAGGAAATGGCCTCAAGTTGCACCAGGGAGGTTTAGATTGGATATTAGGGAGAATTTCATTACTGAGAGAGTGGTCAGGCCCTGGAATGAGCTGCCTAGGGAGGTGGTGGACCCATCATCCCTGAAGGTGTTAAAAAAACTAGCAAATGTAGCACTTGAGGCTATGGTCTAGTAGTTAGGGAGACACAGGGATGAAGGTTGGACTGATGATCCTAGAGGTCCTTTCCAACCACAGTGATTCTATGACTTGATTCTATGATTGAATCATGCACATGAGGGTTGTTTCTACTAAAATGTCATTCTGAGGATCACATGGTCCACTTTGAAGAATTACAGCTGCATCTGCAACATTCCATCCGAGTCCATCGAAGACATGACTGTGTGAAGGACCGGGAGAAGGAACAACTAAAAACTCAAGAGAAACACTTCAGCACATCTTAATGCACTACTTTTGGGGGGAAAAAAACCCCAACCTACAAGGTTTTCCATGCCATTTTTTATGATTTATCATCCACTGGGAATTGCTCAAACCTACCTTCACAGTTTCCAAGTCTCCAGCTTTGGATGCTTCTAATAACCGATAATCCACATCAGATGTCCG